CAGTCTGGGTGACAGAGTGAGATCCCAGCTCAAAAAAAAAAAAAAAAAAAGACACGATCCCTGACTTCAAGAACCTCACCATCTCTTAGGAGATGCAGATACCTTAACCAATTACTAGAACACAGTGGTGAGAAGTTCTAAACAGTGGTAGAACAAAGTGTTATGGGAACCAAGGTGGTGGGGGCAGGGGAACAATTAGCAATGAGATATCTTTACCTATCAGCAATCTTTCTTTCTTTCTTTTTTTATTTTGAGTTGAAGTCTCACTGTGTCACCCAGACTGGAGTGCAGTGGCCGCTCCCGGCCACCTTAGCCTCGACCTGCTGGGCTCTGGCGATCTTTCTGCCTCAGCCTTCACACCCAGCTGATTTTTTGATTTATTGTAGAGATGAGGTCTCACTGCCCAGGCGGGTCTCGAACCCGCGGGCTCAGGCAATTCACTCACCTCAGCCTCCCAAGGTGCGAGATTACAGGCTGAGCCACCGAGCCCAACTTAGTTTTTGATTTATTGTAGAGATGAAGGCTCGCCAAGTTGCCCAGGCAGGTCTCGAACCCGCAGGCTCAGGCAATCCACTCACCTTGGCCTCCCAAAGTGCTGGGATTACAGGCTGAACCACTGAGCCCGGCCCAGCAATCTTTCTATAGGACAAGATATAACTAGGGTAATTTAACCTGGTCCTATAGTTATAGATAAGAACATAACAGCCAAGTGTGGGGCTTCACGCCTGTGATCCCAGAACTTTGGGAGCCAGAGGTGAGGGGATTGCCTGAGCCCAGGGGTGAGATCAACCTGGGCAACTTGGCAAGACCCCATCTCTTCAAGTAAATAAAAAAATTAACCAGGCAAGGTAGTACACGCCTCTAGTTCCCAAAAAGTGCAGATTTAGATGTGGACACAACCCAGACCTACAGATTCAGGAACCATGGCGATGAGGTCCAGAAATCTGTATTTTATGTTTTCCAGGTAATACCAGTGCACACTGATGTCTGAGACCCAGTGGTGTAGGAAGAAGCTCATGGGTGCTGAATCCCTAAATCTCCCAACTCAGTCTCTACAAGGCCTATTAATGAGTTTGGAATGATGCCTGATAGCCTTCTGCTTTAAAATCTGTGAAATAGCCAGGCTCAGTGGCTCAGCCTGTAATCCCACCTTTGGGAGGCTGAGGTGAGTGGATTGCCTGATCCCGCGGGTTGGAGACCCGCCTGGGCAACTTGGCGAGACCTCATCTCTACAATAAATCAAAAAATCAGCCAGGCGTGGTATCACGCGCCTGTATTTCCAGCTACTTGGAAGGCTGAGGCGGAAGGATCGCCGGAGCCC